GTCGACAGTTTCAACAAGGATATTGGTAAAAGAGGGGCCGTTAAGCAACATGCATTCTACCGACTCACGGCGAAGTGCATGCATCTCACCGAAATCATATCTCTGCTAGAGTTTCAAGGAATTGTCAACTTCCTAGAATGCAACTCAAAGTATAGTGAAGATTTGGCACGGGTATTCTACACATGCATCCATGACATGTTCCGGGGTCAGATATTTCACTCTCAAATTGGCTCAACAAAGGTAACTTTAAATTCTACTGTATGGGGCAAATATTTTAAACTTGGTACTTGATGCTGGTGAAAATCCTCCTTCTGAGGTAATTGATTCTTGCACTGTAGCTGGGTATGAGTTCAAGACCGCTTTAAACTCAATGTTGAAGCGACCATATCCAGCGCATCTCGTTGAAAGCGATGTGTTCCCAAGAACCGTCACTGTTGGTAAATTGAAGACAGGTGATCGCATTCTCCAATGGATTGTGGCGCGCATTCTGCGGCACAAGAAAGAAGGTCTCTCTAGAGTCGAACAAGCTGAAGTACATCTTATGTATCTTTTGAAGAATAAAATCAGAATCAACTGGCCCTACTACATCGCTAGTAGGATGTTTGCGTTAAGAGATTCCGGAAGAGGGATAGCTCTAGCTTATGGGTCTTTTATTCAAGAAGTTCTTAATGCTGCTGAAGTTGCTTTTCCAACATTCCCATGCATATCTCTTACTTCCGACAAAGAATTTGGGACGAAAACCCTTTCAATGATGGGTTACTTTTGGTGTGAAGAGCGAAGAAGTTACAGATTTGTTCGCAAGGCAACCACTCCTGAGACTGTTGAAGAATCTGATGAGAGTGAAGATAGTGAAAAAGGGGAAGAAGAGGAAGACGGAGAAGACGAAGAAGAAGAAACTCATGAGGAGCATGCAAGTCATCACCAAATGGATACAAATGAGTACACAAATAACGATTGGGCTTAATACAACACTCCAACTGAAGAAGAAGAAACGAATAATCAAGGTTGGGGCGAGTGGCAATACACTGGATGGTCCACATTGAGAGAGTATTATCAGCCGTATCAAGGAAGTTCGGAAGCACCTCCATCTCCACCGCAACAAAATACCTCTAAAATTCTCAGCATGATGCAGACTATGCAATTGGATCAGCAAAATTTTATGAGAACTCAAGACGAGAGGTTCAGTCAAATACAAAGAGAGCTCCAAACTCAAAATGAAAGGCTTAACCACTTTTCCACAAGGATGGATACTAGGTTTGAGGCTCTCGCTGCATCTAATGAAGTCCAAAAAACGTCCATCACTCACAACATTCGGTATTTGAATAGTGTTGTAGAGGCATTCACCGACATGGCCGACCCATACCGCAATCCTCATTTCGATGACAGGGGACGAGGACGAGGCCGAGGACATTAGGATCATGCGTGCATTTCTATGTTGTTTTTGTGTTCTTATGTTTCCTATTTTGTTTTGTGCACAATGTTTGGTTTTTTCTTGTTATGTATTTTATGAGATTTTTATTGTACTTTCTCTAATTATCCATTGAGTTACTTTTTCATTATCCATATTTTGTGTGAATATTGGTTAATGTTAGTTATTACATGCTCAGTTTTTTTGTTGAATTGAACATATTCTTCTTAACCTTTCTCTTTCTCTTTTTGATGTTGTCAAAGGAGGAGAAGAGAGTGTATCAAAGCCAAGAAGATCACACCACCAGTTCACCAATATTTTTGTATAGGATTGCAAAAGAAAGGGGGAACTTATGTTACTATGTTATAAATATTGCAAGTTGTTCTCATTGGCTTTGCATAGGTTGTCATCATCAAAAAGGGGGAGAATGCGAGGACAAAAAATCATGTAACATATGGTATTGAGTTTCGATGATGACAAAACGCAACCATGGATGAATCGGTCTTATCGGCTCTACATCTACAAGACAATTGCAATATTTCACCTCTCATATCCTTCTTATATCCTTCTAACTTGGCATATTCAATTCAATATGTGTGGAAGATCATTTTTTATGGTTAAATGTATTAAAATCACACATATATGCATTTTTACAGATTTACAGGCTTTGAGTCGACCACAGGTCAGCGCATGAAGCAGTACAAACTCCCACTGGTCGGCGCAAGCTGACCTATGGTCAACCACAGGGTCAGCGCATGAAGTAGTGCAATTCCTCACTGGTCGGCGCACGCCGACCTATGGTCGACGCATGCAGTCAAGACTTTTCGAATTGCCTAAAATTGCAGGCTATGCGTCGACGCATAGTCCTGCTATGATCGACCTTTCGCGCGTTTGTGCAGTTAGTGAAGTCTTTCTACTTTGGTTGAAAAGTTGTTAAGTGTGTTGGTTGGTTGGTTACTATATATAGAAGGTTTGTTCATTTTTAACAATAACAATTGAGATTTTGAGTCAATTGTGCAAGAAACAAGAAAAGTGAAACAGGTGCTAACAAATCTCTTCATCTTCATCCTCAACAATTCACAACACAACAATTCTTGTTGTGGTTTGTGTCTCATTCAAGGTGATAAGGTCTGAAGCCGTTGATTGGGAATCCGGTTCGGGTGGAGTTTGTAGCAGGTTTTTCTTGAATAAAACCTTTAAGGTTTTACCCTCCAAGATTCGGAGAATTTGGGGGTTTTTGGTACGGATCGTCTTTACCAACTTCAGCTGAGCGAAGGTGATTGAGAAGCAGAAGGTTTCATCAATCTAGTAGCGGGAATCAGTGAAGTGTGCAAGAGAGTTCCGGGTTCAATTTGTGTGTGATTGAGATTAGTCGGGCCGAGGGTTTGAAGAACGTAAGGTTGTTCAACAAAGGGGCTGGAATCGGAGGTCTACTCACAACGATCGAAGAACTTGATTCGACTCGAATCAAGGAACAAGGAGAGAAAAGCATCATCAACATCAAGAGAACTTGTTTGTATATTTTGCTTATATATCCTTGTATAAACACTTCAACTCTACAGGTGATATCTATTATATTGATCTCAATTCTAGATTTAGAATTGAGGGCAGACGTACCTCGAAGCGAGGACGGCGGGGGAATTGCCTCAACAAATCTTTGTCTCCTTTATTATTTCATCACTTTCATTTTGGCTTTAGAATTTGAGTAATTTTAGTTTAAGCAATTCCATCAAAATTTGCATTGAATTGAGTAAGTGGTTTTTACAGTTTTGAACTCTAGTACAATAATAAATTGTACAAGGAATTTGGAATTACTTACTCAAGTCAAAATTCACTTGGAGTGTCTCGCACACCAAGTGTTTGATAAATTGCCTAAACCAAAATTCACTTGGATTATTTGCATATATTATGGTGATTGTGGAGCATTGGAACTAGTCCTACTTATTAGTGGTAAAATCAATTGATTAGTGTGACTAGTGTGTTGAATCTAATTTTTGCTCATTGTCACTTCCATAAGGCTAGACGCATATCCGGTCTTCTAATAACAATTCGTTTTAGACGGTAATTTTTCCACGGCCGCTTCCGCAAAAACAAATATTTTTAAAACCAATTTTTAATTGGTAGCGCCGACTGATTTTTAATTGGGATTTATTCAACCCCCTTCTAGATCCAAGCCATCGTCTAACAAGATAAATTAGGGATTTTCTGGAAATCATAAAATAATATCGTTCATTGATTTTGCAGATGAAACTAACCTTGTACATCCCACAACTATAAAAACGACGATCTGGGTTCATACCTGTTCACGCTGTCATCAATGGAGAAGGAAGACCACATTTGAATTTGACGTGATTGGAGTGAGATACACTGCGATTACATTTGATACAACAAATCCAATTAACCATACTAATGACATTCCCATGATAAACTTGTTCATCATCTTTAAGAAATTGATCTTCAACTTCAATTGCTCCTCTCTGATAATGGCTTCATTCAATTTGACCTTTTCTTAGTTTAATTTTTAGTGCATTGAAGATATCACTTCCTTGACTCGTTGTGACATTTCTTCATCGTACCAGACAAAGTGACTACATCTCTTGTATCCCTGATTCTAGAAATAAGCAAGATAAATTAAGGATTTTCTGGAAATCAAAAAGTAACATCGTTCATTGATTTTGCAGATGAAACTAACCTTGTACATCCCACAACTATAAAAACGATGATCTGGGTTCAAACCCGTCCACGCCGTCATCAATGGAGAAGGAAGACCACACTTGAATTTGACGTGATTGAAGTGAGACACACTGCGATTACTTGATGTTGAATATTGAGACATGTCGCTGAGACCTAGATCTTGAAGCTTGGTACAAATTTTATGCTTTTCTAGAGACGAAGAAGTTCACATTTCTAGGGTACAACGAACTTGCAAATGGGGAAGAATAAGAGAAACCAATCTAAAATGCGGAAGAACAACAAAAAAGTTACTGAAAATCGTGTTTTATAACGTTTTTTTTATTTAAAATGTTTAATTAAAAATATTTTTTTATTTAAATTGATTAAAATAAAATGTTTTTTTAATTACGTGGCAATTTTATTTCAGTTTTGGTCAACTTTTTCATTGCCACGTCATAAATATGACTGCGACACAGTCAAAACTGAAAGGAGACCAAAAATATCTCAAAAAAACTCAAAACAGAGGACATAGTACCTGACTTTTTTTAAAAGAGATTAAAAATTTTAAAAAATTAAAGAGAGGGATCAAAAATACATTTAAGTCTTTTTTTAATAATAAACATATAAGATAATCTCATCTTCCCATTAAATACTTTAGCTGTTTTTATTTTTATTTTTTTATTTATAGGTATATAGTTGAATTTAGAATAAAAATAAGATTAAAAATAAAGAAAAAGTTATATAAAATGAGATAAATGTATTTTAAAAAGAAAGATAAAATTGCTTTTTAATGTAAAGAAGTAGTGGCCTTGGTTGCTTGCCATTAGAGTCTGGGTATGATGAATGACTAATAACCACTTAAACTAAACTCAGGCAATGGTATGAGCCTGGGCGACTCATTCCTTCTCTGAAAGCAACAATGTTGCACACCTTGCCCTCCACCTCTTCCTCTATCCACTCAACAATTCTTCTTCCTCAATCTCATTCTCCTTCTCTTCTCTCTCCTTCTTCCTATCAACCATGTTCACTTCTCAACCACCACTTTCACACTCAGCCTCGTCACTTTACCAACTTCACCCGGAAAATCCATTCTCCATTAAGACCTCAGGTTAGTTTCACTTTATTTATGTCTTTTAATTTTATTATAAGTTTTGTTTCTTCATCATCGTTTTCTTTTTAACAAGGTACTAAAAAAAGTGATAAATTGCTCCACAAGCGAGCCATTGAAGGTTATGATATCAGGTGCACCTGCATCTGGCAAGGGAACACAATGTGAATTGATCGTTACTAAGGTAACTTTACTGCCCAATAGTTGAAACACATGTTCAGGCCTGATCAGATATGTTGTGTCTCTTTCTGCAGTATGGATTGGTGCACATATCAACTGGGGACTTGCTAAGACAAGAAGTAGCAGCTGGCACTGAAATAGGAAATAAAGCGAAAGAGTTCATGAATTCCGGTCGCTTGGTTCCTGATGAAATTGTGACTGCTGTATTGTCAAGAATTGCTCATTTTGATTTTCAATTTCGTTTGTGCTCCATTTTCATATGCTGATAGGCATACTTTTGGTTTGTTGTTTTTTTCTCTTGTAGATGGTGGCAGCGCGTTTGTCTCTCGAAGATGCGAAACAAAAAGGGTGGCTTCTTGATGGTTACCCTCGGAGTTTGGCTCAAGCGGAGAGCCTGGAGAAAATGCAGATAAGACCTGATGTGTATATTGTATTAGATGTATGTTAAGACCTGTTTTTTTTCCATAGAGTAATGTATGTGATATAAATATCTGTTAATCAGAAACAAACTGTTCAATTTTCCTTGCTAAGTTATTAAATTTTCTAATACTCAGGTTCCTGATGAAATTCTGATCAACAGATGCGTTGGTAGAAGGCTAGACCCGGTGACTGGGAAGATATACCATCAGAAATTTTTTCCACCAGAGACTGAGGAAATCAAAGCCAGGCTGATAACTCGTCCTGATGACACCCAAGAAAAGGTATGATATGCTATATTCATCTTTTTATTTCTGGACGTCTTCGGTGATATTTAACTAGGCCACATCATGTGAAACTGTATCATATATGTGTCAGCATTGCAAGATGGTCTCACTACAATGTCATCATTGTAGAAGTGAATCACAAGCATGACATTTAAAGTGAGACCATCATGTCATGGACGAGTTTGGAAGCAGAAAATGTAGTCATTAAGTTCATCTTAAAGAAGGAGCATGATTTATTTAGTCATTTAGTGATATTTCTGTTCTGTTATCACATTTTTTTCCTGTTAGCGGTAAATGAATCTGATATCCTTCTGAACCAATGTATGTATACTTATTCAATTATTCTCAGGTTCTGTCACGCCTGAGCATATATAAGCAAAATGCAGAAGCAGTATCTTCCTCTTATTCGAACATAACAAATAAGGTTACTGAAGATTATTTTCTTATCTATGTTATGCCAATATTGTAAACCAGTGGGACATTTTCATTTTTAGTTATTTGTTATATGCGCAGATTGATGGAAGCCGTCATAAAGAGGAAGTTTTCAAAGATATTGAATCTTTATTAACTCAATTACAACAGAATAAAGTGAAAATTGTGAATTCTGGAGGTATGAATTTTCAAAAGCATATTTCAAACTTCGCCCAAAATAGTGAATTATGAAAGTTTATTAAGATTACTTACTAACTGTTATTTATTCAGAAAATACAATTCGTGACACGAAAAAGGGGCAAGTGTCTTTGATCCAGGTAGCTGATAGTACTTTGTAAAAGGAATTGTTTCTTTATTTGGTTATTTTTGCAAAGCCTCTTTTGTGTATCTTTTCTTATTTTGCTTTAGCTTGTTACAGGATCAATGGAGAGGAGTTCCAACTAAACTACACAACATTCCCCATTCTCAAGAAATCAGGAAATATTTTTATGATGATGTGCTACTAGCTACACAGAGGGCTATCAATGATGGAAAAACTAGATTGAAGGTATAAATGACATTCCCGGAATTCTGTGTAATTGTAGCCTACAGTATTTGTTATTTGGGTAACTCTAGGTTTTACGAGGCCTAAGCTGATATATATATGTTTTTCATTCCGAATCAAATAGGTTGACATTAACATTCCTGAACTGAATCCAGAAACGGTATGGAGTATGGACTTTTTTCTCACTCTCCCTCTTTTGATTTTCTCTTGATGTCTTGATATGACCATATGTTTTGGCATACAGGATGTTTACCGATTTGGTACCTTGATGGAACTTATTAGATCTCTTGCACTTTCATTTGCTGATGATGGGAAACGTGTAAAGGTGTTTTCCTGACTCATTTTGCTCTAACATACATAGAACATTTTGTTTTCTAGAAGGCACTTCTATCTGCGAACGTCAACATAGCTATCTTTGTTTAAACTTTCTTCAACTTCGTTATGCAGGTTTGCGTACAAGGGTCAATGGGAGAAGGTGCTCGTACTGGAATGCCATTGCAGCTTGCTGGAAGTCGGAAGATTTTAGAGTTCATGGATTGGGGTGATTATGGTGCAAAAGGAACATTCATCAACATTGGTTCGATAGGTATATCAATGAGCTTCAACTTGTATGATTCTACTGTTGCAACTTTTGATCTAAGCCGCTTGTGCATTTCTAATCTCAGGTGCAGCAGAGGTTGAAGAGCAAGATGACATGTATATCTTGGTGACTCCTCAGAATGCTGTAGGGAATTGTATTATTGATGTAAGGCGATAGAGTGGAAGTTTGACCGATTTAACAGATATCGCATTCTGAACTTTCTATTCGCCTTGATGGATTTTGATATATATTTTCTTATCCCTTCAGAGCTGCTATCTTTTTTTCTTCTTCTTAGCTTTCTTAATATTTTTCGAGGTTGGATGTACAGGATTTAAAAGCAATGACCAGTGCTGCCAAACACAGACCAGTCATCTTAATCAACGCTAAGCTTAAGGTTCATTTCCCAGTTCCCTATTCTGTAGTTCAAGTTGACTTACAAGTTTTTCAGATTTGCCCCTAGGAGTCCTAATCTAATACATTTCGACGAACTCAGGATTTACCTGCTTCGAGTGGTATTATGCAAGTGAGTACTAAACCAGCAAGTTGACGATAACAATTTATTCAAGAGAAAAGTAAGGTTTATATAATCTTGTCTTCTTAATCACTAGACAATGGGACGAGACAAAAGACTCGAGTATGCAGCATCATTCGAAAGTTGCTATCTCTTTCGGCTTCTCTATAATGTAGCAACCCAGTATCCCATAATAGGAGCTATCAGGTTAGATTGTTACATATATTTCTATCATTATGTATGGTTGAGAAAGTAACTAACTTGGCCGGACCGGTATGTAGGATGTCTTATCCATACCCGTATGAGCTGTACAGAAGAGTAGATGAGTCAACTGGAAAGGAGAAGTATGTAATTTTGTCTACTTTTCCTCAAATGCCTACTAATGAAGAAGTTTACGATTCCTTGGAAGGAAAACCAAGGTAAAAGATAATCTAAACATTCTAAAACCAGATTTTCAATTTTGCTTAGCATTTAAACTTGACATTAATTTTTTTTTTTTTTTTTTGTAGAAATGGAACCAGGAAAGCTTCAGGGTTTTGGTTAGAAACATGTAGCCTCAATCTATTATTAGTTGTTTAAATTTTTATAAAGTATTTTCATTGCATGGATGTACCTATTTTCTCTGCAGGGGTTTCTTGAGTGAAATATTTTGAGCATGCTGGAAGTGTCAAAGTCTTTACTTTTATACATTGCTGGAAGATTTTATATAAGGAGGACTTAAAGCCAAACAAAACGAACCAAATGAGTATCCACGAGATGGCTTATGGAGATGAATTAAAGAAACCGAAATCTTTAGGAAGTTCCAAACCTCTCTTAGCAAGATCATTTGTACAAAATTCTTTTTCAAACCTAATATTACATTTTCTCTTAAATGTTTTAATTATTGTCAGAAATAAATTAAGTTTCTATGTGTTTTATTTGTTGTCATTGAAACAAATTGAATTTTTATATATTAGTTAAGACAAATAGAGTAATTAGTGAATTTAAATGAGTTTAATTTTTACTTTTTAAAATTAATCTTTTATTAATTTATTAAAGAAGGAACGTTTTAATAACATTAATAATTAATTAATTATTTTCTAAAGAATGAAAGACACTCTAAGATATTTCTTTCTTTTTCCTTTACTTACCAACCATGCCTTTATACTAAGCGTGAATATGATTATTAAACACCTTGGTTTTACTATAAAATCGATGTTTATTATCTTATCTTTTTAACTATCATCTCGGTTATGACGAAAGTCAAGGTGAATAATTTTTTTTTTTGAAACTATATTATTTATACAGAATACTAAAATAAATTATTTATAACAAATATTTGTTCTTATTATTGAATATCTTTGTTGATATCTAGATTCAATTGTATTCTCTTCTTTGTTCAAAGGTTAAGTTCTCTTCCTTATTGGTTAAGCTCCATTCTTTATAACCTAAAGTAAGAATAATTTTTTGCACTTGCAATCTATCAACTGAGTACTCTTTAAAGGTTGAGCTTGCTTCTTTAACTGAGGGTTATTCTAAAAATACAACAGCGACAACATCAACAACATCAACACCATTATGTTGGAATGGATAGCAATGGTAGGAAAAAATATTTTGTTCAAGATAGAAGAACATTGAAGATTTTTCTGTCTTGCAATCTATCCCAAAGAATGATGACTGCGAGTTTGAGGCAACTTCATATTAGTAAGGATTAGGGTAAAATCTGTTTAACGAGTGCTTTTATAGTAAAATCTTATTATTTAATGTCTCGGTTAAATAGAAAACTAAAGGGCTAGAACATTTTATTTACACTTATAAATAAATAAAGTTATAAACTGCAATAGTCGAGAATCAAAACTTGTACTGAATTGTTTTTCACTTCGGTGTTATGAAAAATCGAGAGAATATATGGTATTTTATTTTTTAAATAATAAAAAATAGCGCACTTTGTCTTTATATTTCTATTTTCTATTGTTCGAGGTGAAAGTTTTGTCATAAAAAACATTATCTACTATAGTAATGGATATGCAAAAGTTAAAAATCAAAATCGGTCTTTAATACTAATATATAAAAGTTGAAAGGTTTTTAAGAGGATATCAGAATACTTGATATGCTGAAAAGTGATAATTCTAATTGAATGGGAAAATTTTTTGATGAAGTTGTAATGTTTCTAAATTGTTATGGTATGAAAAAATGATAAAATATGATTAAGGGTCTGTTTGTTTCAAATGAAGGAGAGAGGAGGAGAGGGATTTTAATGAAGGGAAGGGGAGGGGAGGGGAGGTGAATGATTTTTTTAATCAGAGGAAAGTATACATTATAAGGTTCATCTTCATGAAAGAGAAATTCTTGTAATTTGAAATTTCACTCCCCCAAATATGTCTGATTAATTTAGAACATAAAGCGATGTAAAAAGACGGTTTTTTTAGGAGAAAAAATGTTTCAGTAACAAAACTGACCAATTAAATATTAAAAATGATATAATCATTATAATTGTTAATTGACATTAATGCAGTAGATTTGAAAAGAAAATGACATTTAGATGTCTAATGATGTTTTAATTGTTAAAAGTGTAATCCAAATTTAAGTAGTTAGTTAAATTTAATTTAAGTGTCATTTGAGTTTAGATTGCATTTGAGTTTAATTTCATATTCTAGATTTGTATAAAAATAGAATTTGTATTTTAGTTTGAGTAGAATTGAATTTGTAATTCACTCGGAAAATTCAGTTACAATTTTTCTCTCTTTTTCTCTTCCATCATCTTCTTCATCTTCAACCTTGTGCACCAACAATTGGTATCTAGAGCTATGATTCAGATCCAGATAGAGAAATACGAGTGTACGTGAGGTGCGTGCGATTGATTTTGTTTATGAAATTTACAGTGAATTAAAGTTCTAAATTGAAACAGAATCACATTTCTTGATTATGAGGGATTGAGAAACACGATTGTTAGTGAGATTTGAGTGATTTTGTACAAGATTGAAGATGAATGGTGGAAAGGATAGCTTGAACAAAAGCTTCTAGTCTTTGATGGAAAGAATTGGAATCGATGGATAATTCAGATGCGTGTGTTGTTTGGCGCTCAATATGTTATTGATCTCGTCAATGACGGTTACACAACAGTTGCAGCAGATACAACTGAAGCACAAAGAAACACGCATAGAGAAACGAGGAAGAATGGTCAGAAGTCGTTGTTCTATATCTATCAGTGCGTGGATACAACTTTGTTTGAGAAGATCGCTTATACAACAAAGGCAGAGGATGCGTGGGACATAATGGTACAATGCTACGACATTGATGCATTAGTGAAGAAGGTAAAGCGTAAGTCTGTACGTAAGCAGTATGAGAATCTCAACATGAAGAACAATAAGAAAGTACCTGATTATATATCTAGAGTGATTTTGATTATAAATGAGATGAAATCTTGTGGATAGACTCTCTCTGAACAAGTAATCATTGAAAAGGTATTGAGATTACTTACTCCTCAGCTTGATTACATTGTTATAGGAATTGAACACTCTAAGGACCTTAGCATCATGAGAATTGAGGAGTTGCAAAGTAGTCCAAAGGCACAAGAGTTGTGTCTAACTGAGAGAACCTCTGAAAGAAAGGTAGAGCAGACTCTTAAGGCATCTTGTGGTAGGAAGAATTAGAAGTAGTCTTGGTCAGAGGCCAATAAGAGACACGGTGGTGGCTATCGGAAGTCAAAAGCCTCAAAATATGATGAGGAGAAACATAAGAAGGGAAAAGAGAATTTTGACAAGAAGAGGGTTCGGTGCTATTGTTGTAAAAAGTTTGGTCACTTTACTACTATCTGTTGGTCAAACAAGGAAAGGAAATCAGAAGAAGCAGATATAGATAAAGGAGAGTCTGATGATGAACCTGTGCTATTTATGGCCTCTGATTTTGATGATGGATATTTTGTAGACTGGTGGTATATGAACACTGGATGCTCAAATCACCTAACTGGAAACAAACAATGACTGATTAATTTTGACTATAAAAAGAGGACAAATATCATATGTGTTAATGATAAGTATCTGAATGCTGAAGGAATGAGAAATGTCAACGTTAGAGTGAAGAATGGAAAAATTGTTCTGATCAAGGATGTTTGGTATGTTCCTCGCATGAAGAGCAATCTGATCAGTGTAAATCAACTAATTGAGAAAGGTTTCTCAGTTACTTAGAAGGACATTCTCTTGAAGTTATATAATCATGATCAGAAGTTGATTATGGAATCTGAACAGGGAAGCAATATAACATTTAAGGTGATTGTGGAAATAACTGAAAACTAAATGCCTTAGTGCAAAAGGTGTTGAAGGTGACAGTGAGTTGTGGCATTTGAACTTCAGAAGCTTAGGGCATCTGAGTTCTAAGAAGGTGGTATATGGCCTTCCTAAGATTGTGAAGTATAAGAAGTCATGTGAGATATGCATGAAAGTCAAGCAACCTAGATTACCATTTGCGTTAAAAGTGGCTCCAAGAGCAAAACATGCTTTAGGAGTAGTGCATTCTGATGTATGTGGACCATTTGAAGTACCTTCACTTGGAAGAAACAAGTACTTTGTGTCTTTTGTTGATGAGTTCACAAGAATGACATGGGTAGTTCTCATCAAGTTTAAGAATAAGGTGTTTACTGAGTTTTAGAATTTTAAGGTGAAGGATGAAAAATAGAGTGGTTAGAAGCTGAAAAAATTCTTAGAACTGGTGGTAGAGGTGAGTATAACTCTATAGAGTTCATATGGTTGTTTGAGAAGAATGGAATTCAACATAAGGTTACTTCTTCATAGACTCCTCAGCACAATGGTCTTGCTGAAGAAGAAACAAAACTTTGCTTGATAAGACAAGGAGCATGCTGAAGGAGAATAAACTACCTCATACCTTGTGGGGAGAAGTGAGAAGCTGGAGAGAGTAGTTCCTATTTAGAAGTGGGTTGGAGATAAGTAAAGTGTAATCCATCTATAGGTGTTTAGTTATGTTTGTTATAAGCATGTATCAAATGCTAAGATAAAGAAGTTGGATGATAGAAGCAGAGTCATTTTGCTTGTACGGTACCACAGTACAGGTGCTTATAAGCTATATTGTCCTGTCACTAACAAGGTGAAATTCAACAGAGATGTCATTGTGAAGGAAAATGAAGCATGGGACTGGAACAAGTCTCAATTCAACTCTGGTCCAGTGTTAACACCTGAGTTAACTTTTGAAGATATTTCAGACTCTGAAGGAGAATATGCCTCTTAAGCCTCTTAACTAGATTTTGCCTCTGAAGATGAGTAGGTGACTCTGATGCTGAAGTTAAGTTTGAAGGCGAGTCTGAATTTGAAGGTGAATTTGATTCTGATCCAAATTCTAATGATAATACAGATTGTGGTGGTAATCTTGTCTCTGAAGGTGGTCTAGCCTCTGAACATAGTCTAGCCTTTGATATTGTTCTAGAATCTGAAGAAGATTCTAAGTAGGTTCAGATGCCATAAAGAATCAGAAAAATACCAAGAAAATTTGCGGAGTTTGACATGTTGCAAGATACTGAGATAGACTCTGAAGGGGAAGTCATTCAGTGTGCCATGCTGGTACACTCTGAACCAGTCAGTACTAAAGAAGATCTCAAGAAGAAAGTGTAGCTGAAGGTCATGAAAGAGGAAATTTAGGCTATAGAAAGAAACAAGACTTGGGA